GGTCCCGAACTACAATTTTTGAGAAATCTCTGAATGAAAGCCGCAATTCCAATTACTTGTCATCTTAACGTGTAGCGACACTACTGCCTAGCAAGCCTCGACCAAGGACCTTGAGTCTATTCCGCAGCAGAGTCTGTCATCATTTTTTGTTCTTATCGTATGTAGGAATAGCCCGATCGTCAGTTCTGAATATGACAGGCCAAAAACGAACTAATGCCAGTTTCCGAGCCTTATAATTTGGACCAGACTCAGGTGTAGGCCTTTAAAATACGGCACGCAACGTTACAACTCTTCTTTACTGCTCCCAGGCATATACCTGCATCATCGCCAGACAGAGATGAATCACGTGGCAGACTTGAGTCACCATATCACAAGAGCTTCATCAAGCAGTACTGCGAACCTAGATGTACAGAGGCTCATCAGGGCGTGCTTGGGCATAGAAATCAGGCAATATGCCCCAGTTCCAAGTACAAAGCCGGAATCGCAGCAAGGCAGTTTCGCAGGCGCTGTGACAACCGCCGCCCCCTTGAATAAGATCCCGAAACCGACGGGTTTAGTGGACACAGACAGCGGTGTGACACACCAGACTCAGGCGGGGATATGAAAAAGTGATAGCCCTGAATTGGTTTCAGGAAAGCCAAGCACTGGAAAAGGGGTTCTTAGTCTCGAAAGCACAGATGATTCCGTGTTGATATTGTCCGAAATGGGGTGAAAATCGCACTGTCGCAGTAAATTCTCAAGTTTAGCAATAATTGTAGAATTTGGGATTTAGTTGAAGGATGGTGCTCTACAGGGAATTAAAGAAAAATGTTTGTCTTGCAAGCAAAGTAGTTGTAGATAAAAAAATGTTGCGGGAAGGAGTAACTGGGCAATACAATATAGAAACTGTTGGATTAGAACGAAGGACATAAAAAAGGAAGGGATCCATCAAACAGACATATTGTAAATTGTGAGGCTTAAATACGGCAGAGTGGTGATACAGTACATGACTAAGTGAATCTCGACGAGAAATATATTGATGTGACGACCTGCCAAGTTGGCAGAATAGAAGCAATGTGGGTATTAAAGTACTTTGTGAGATAAGAACCTGTAGATGACGAGGCATGGAAGGGGAAAGTGAATGGGAAATGGTTTCTTGTCGATTTTTCATGCAAGTTTTACTGGTACAAAGTTTTAGCATCTTGTCAGTAGAGAATTAAAGGCGTAGAGTTAACAAATTGAGCGGACAGTGTGCAGTCGACCAAGGTCCAGCGGCGCGACATAACGCGGTGAGACGTTGAGAGGCATAGTAGCGGTAGATGTAGGAAAAGAAAATACAGGGACGAGGAGGGTGAAGTAGAGGAAAGTGTGGGACCGGAGGCATAGGCAGGATGGTGCGTGAGGAGGAAGGAAGAAGGCGCAAGTGCAGGAGCATGGGTGTACGTGTCCACGGCTGGGAAGTTG